CCAGCACTGAAAAAATATGTATTTACATATACTTGTATATCTATATATATATATATATATATATATATATATACATATATGTGTTTTAACATATATATATACATATATATGATATAAAAATTATATTTCATTCATATATGCTGCCTGCTTTAAAATGAAACATAATTATTGTAATTAGGAACAGAAAAGAGAAAAACTAGAGCTTATGTAGGCTATGATGTTCACGTGGTTATACATTTGCGTAGGATTGTGGACAGTTTCATTTATGATTTTCTTTGTGAGCCACTGTGTTTGCTAACTTTTCTCAATCTGTATGAATTATTTTTATTAGCAAGGAGAACCACACTGAAAAGATCTCAGATGTTTCGGACACAAACACACTGAACTGTTTTCATTAAGAGATTTCTGCAAACCCCTTGAAAGCTGTCTCTAAACAACACCTAGAAAAATACGTGTATACTTTTGAAAATAACTAAATGTCAGCAACACCCATTCGTAAAAACAAAAGCCTACCCATACTTAGGCTTGCTTCCAGATCTTTCAAGCCCATCCCATTATCAATCTATCATCCTGAATTCAAAATTCTGCAAACTCCTTTATGTGGACACAGAAACCCTATATTCATTTCATGCATATTTTATTTAAATAGATGGCAATATGTAAACTATGATAACATTTGCTCCCCTCTGCATCAGAGCCCTGGGGAGTGTTCTTCATATTTCTCTTTGCTCAGTGCAGGGATCACTTGCCTCCATCAGACTGGGCAAATGCTCAGCCACTGAGCTACATCCTCGGCCTTCCTTTCACTTTTTATTTAAAAAAATATATATATATGTATGGGATAGCCTTGAGCTCACTTTGTAATCTGGGAAGGCCTTGAGTTTACAATCTTTCTACCTGAACCTCCCAAACCTTGTGGTGCTGGGATCACAACAGGCCTGCTGTCGACTCTGGAGTATGGAGAGGCTGGAACTCCCTTCCCTTTCCCTCTGGGTGGCTGAAATACCTCACATAGGACTCCATCTCCCACCCAGGAAGTCTCTCTAAGAGGACATTATGAGTGAGCTTCCTTTTTTTTTTTAAGAACTATTAACTCTTGTCAAGTTGCCTGTTTATTGTATAT